GGCTTCTGACAATGTCACTTGTAGACACAGTTTTCCTATGAGCTCAAGGCAGGCAGCTCCTCACATCACTCTGCAGCTTCTATTGGTCTACTTCATTAGCCATTAGAATACTTAACAACACAATTTAGATGCAAGAAATATAATTAAAATAGCATTGTCTTGTGGGCGGATTTCTTATATCCAAACCAAAGCTCATTTACACACTGAAAAAAAACAGAAGCATCCTAGAACAGCACAGAGTGCTTGACTTGGGTAATTTTCTTATCTCAAAAAAAGGCTCTCATTCCCAGAAATGATTCCCAGAAATGAATGCTGATTTCAGCAGCAGCATATTATTTTAAGTTTTAATATGCAGTTATGTTAATGAACAAGAAAGCTATGATAAAACCAAGGTTTTGCTGTTATGATTTGGGTAATCCTTATCATTAAAAACTACTTGAGAAGCATATTAATGTAGGCAATTCTAATGTATCCTAATTAGATTAAATAAAATAAAATTAAAAATAATTAAAAAAAAAGAGAAAAAAAGTGCTTGTTGTATCTGGATTGTACAAAGCATGCTTGATTTAATTAATTACCAACGCTGCTTATTAGAGTCCTCCAGGTCCTTCTTTTAATAGAAACCCTGCTCTGGATGACATCTTTTTCCTTTACTGCCATTTCTGTGACCCTCATTGTCCCAGTGGCAGAGCAACCAAAGCACTTGCAGGTGCAAAAAACTTCAGGAGCACAGTGGCACCCATTCCTTATGCCAAGAACAACTAAATCTTTTAAGTGCATGAGTTTCAGTCTTGCTTCTCTTGCATATGCATAGTGCCCCATGACAACTGGAGCTGCATATGTAGAAATATTTCAGAATGAAAAGTTCATCAGTCTTGATGAACTGCACTTTGAGAAGGAAGAAAGACTTTGAACTGTCCAAGCCTCCGATGCATCTGTCATACCAGGTACTGTGGGGGCTATCTGTGAGCTTAAATAATCAAAAAGTTACAGATTTTAGTAACTGTGATGTAAGCCAGAGGCAGCTGTGATTGGAAAAGGATGATAAGGCTGGAGGGATAGGGGAAGTAATGGCAAAGGCCAAGGCATTCCTGCTGTACCTAGGAACAGAAAGGTTAGGTTTCCAGCAAACCAAAATTTGCTCATCAGTTCAAATACAGCCTTGCTAAAGTTTGAAGGAGGCCAGATTTATAAACAGTGCAGAATTTTCCCATTCTGTTGTAAATGCTGCTATTCATACTTCATACGTAATCCAAAATTAATGGGGTTCCATCATATTATATGTAGAACAGATATACTTGGAATGCATCACTTCTACAGCAAGCCTACAAAACATATGAGGTCTAATGATTTATTCTGTCACACGCCTTTCTAATTACATTCTGATTTTCTGTTTCAATTGCTGAGGAACTAAAATCAAGTTATTGTAAAACCTAGATTTATGCTTAATTTTGTAATAAGCCATTGAAAAGGAAATCTAAAGAAAAAAAAATCCTGATCTTCTTTGGGATACATCCTTCCAATTTTTGTCTGTGGAAGACCAAGAACCTCGTAACTGTGCAGCTGCCACAGGAAAAACTAATGTCATTCCCTGGCCTGTGTTAACTTTGACAGAGATTTGACTTTACATTATGACTGACTGATTACTAAAACATTATTTTTTTCACAGTGGTCTGGGATTACGAGACCATAGAATTATACTCTTTCTCTCTGGTTTCAACCTGGAGCAAGCCAGAATCAAAGAAAAAATACCTGTCATATATGCTGATATATATATATATATATATATGCACACACACATACTATAAAGAGTTCTGTTTCAATGCATTCATGTTTTCTAGGAAAATATTTTTCCTTTAGACTTTATTAATGATCATATGTATGAAAATCAGTTGTTCTTTGAGAAAGTAGGAGTGACCAGGATATTAGGATCATTCTGAAATACTGCTATTTCAGAAAGTGCAATAATAAGTGTGAAACCCTATCTCCACTTTGTTCAATTTCTTTTCTGTTATTAAAGCTTATATTGTATTTTAAAACCTCCAGAAACGCAGTGTGTGTGGAAGAAAATCATATATAGTACTTTTAAATTCAGCAATTCTTTTAGCACAGAGCCGTTTTTAATGTATTCAAGCTCACTTACTATAGCTACAGCAGCTATTGTTAAAATTTACTTTTAGCAGAAACTGCATTTGATTTTGAGAGAATATCACCATGCATAAATTCATAATGTTGCTAGAAATAGTAACTATTTTTCTCAAGGAATGAAGAGATATTTCACATTGTTTTTCCAAGAAAATCTTATGCTATGACCCCACCATCAAAAAAAAAAAAACCAACAAAACCAACAAAAAACCCCACATCCTTTTGCTCTTTTCTCTCTCAGAACAGATATACCTTCGAGAAGATTCTCTTTGCAGTATATGTTTATGCATTTGTGTGCTTGAGTGACAAATAGGATTTCTGCCTCTGACACAATTACACTATGTAGTACAAGAGACTCTCAAGCATGTGCTTTCAGCACACAATAAGTAGTACAGATGATGAATACAAAACTGCACAGCACTAATGGGAAACAGAATAGTAAACTGCCAAATAAAAATTACCTATTTTAAACATCTACCAGCAGTTTTGTGATGCTAATTTAGCTGAATTGAAGCTGTAGACTAGTCCTGCCAGAATCGTTAAGGACTTTCTGTTCTTCCCAATTCTCTATCAGAGGCCCTACTGGGGTCTAGAGTATGATAAAGGACACACTCCTGTGTGGGTGGATCAGCAGTTGTAAAATGCCTGTGACAATTTCAGTGTACTTACAAAGTAGGAGGTGTTTTTCGTACATCTGTACACATAATATGTTTTCCAGAGAAATGACAAACTTCAGTCAAATTAAATGTGATTAGATTTTAACAAGGAAAAGGTTTTATTGGAAGTGAAGAACGCTTCGTGCTTCACTGGCCTCTGTTCCTTCAGTATTTCTTACCCCTGCACCAAAGAAGAGACTTTATCAGGAGAATCAGATGTTATGACCTGAGTGCCTACCATCCACCCCCATAAACTCAGAGACATCACCAAACAACGTCTAAACCAGATTTGACAATCCATGATTTAACTTCCACTATAAAAGTAGTTAAATAACTAAAATACGTATTCTTATTTTTTTCCAGTTGGCTTCTTGTCTATTCTTCATCTACACAGAATTTCCTACAAGGAAATGTACCACATGATAGCCAACTATTAAGAATTATTGTTACTATAGTGAGGATTTTTTTTCAATTTTGCACATAATCCTTTCTGAAATTGTGCAATAACTCTGGCCTTGGAATTAAGCTGAAGTTTCTTGTAGTAGAATGAAGAAAATCTTGAACAGTCACACTCATTTTTCCATGTGTTCCTTTCTGACAAAAAAATCTGTCATGTTTTTAGCCCTGTTTTAGCAGAGGGATCTCATCCTGCTTTTGTGATTTAGGCATTCAGTATGGGATTTACAAAGCTGGAAATGAAGACACTGAAGAAGGCTCTAAAAACTTTCAGTTTCAGTACGATATAGTTATACAAGCTGACAGGTTTTAGGAAGGAATGCTTTGTTTTCAAATTGTTCTATGACAACCAAAGCAAATTAAATTCACAGTGTTTCAATGTACTGCCACTATTCATAAGCTAGTAAAGCACCATTACATGACACAATATTAATAATGTAATTTTTTTCAGGTAAATTAATGCCTGAGTTGACATATGTGATATTTACAACCTTATTGGCTTGTAGAGTTGCAGAGTCTTACAGTCTAAAAACGTGCAAACTGTTTATTGGGGAAAAGTCGATGTTGGATCAACCATGCCCTTGCAAATATTCGTCTATTTAATTTATTTGCAGTGATTTCTTAACCAGTACCTCACTAGTCCTCATCCTGCAGGAATAACAAATTAATTGCCTGACAAGGAACAGCTTTCTCCTGGACATGGAAATACATACAGCTGCCAAATAAAATACAACTTTCATCCTCATCTTCTTGATGAACTGCTTAAGAAACTCCTTCAAGTATTTTTCTTGTTCTTTTGGTGAACACACAATTTTTTATTTTATGATTTCAAGCCCCATAACTTTATAATGGCATTCCAGCAAAGTACGTAAGTTTATAATTACATACCAGGGTGTATGTACAAAATCACTGCATATTATAGGGATTCAGATTTCCTTAAGGTATGGAGCTGAATTGTGCTCCAAGCTGTATTGCAACAGGCAATACAAGAGGCAACTCTGTTGACCTCACTGTTTTACTGAGAAATCTCTTCTAATAAAAGTGGCATAAATAGAGGTTGGTGCTATTAAAATGAACAGTCTTAAAAAGGTTCCAGGGTGAAAGAAATGCAAGCCAGACAAGAAAGGTGAGACTTTTAAATGCTTCCATTCACAAGTTGTCCGGAGAAAGTTAGGCGTAGTGTGAACATTCATTTACCATCTTACAAACAATTACATACCCATTGTATGCAATAACACTTGCATGTTTTTTAACCTTCTTCTGGGAAAAAAATGCTTCTGCATCATCTCAATCACTTCACCTGTATATTGCTACAATAAGAATATATTTACCAACACATACAGCCTTCAAACTAAGAACTGATTTTATGGATGTGGATATATAACATATTCTTCACTACCTGTTTAAATTACCTGCGGTCTGATCCTCTGTATCCAAAGTCACCAAGTATGTTGCTTTGATTTTTTTTCTGCATGACTTAGTTCTTCAGTGTTTCATATTTAATAGCCAATTTTAGCAGATACTTAATGTTACTAAGGTTAGACTTGGACTATGCATTAGGAAGCTCTGGGAACTGTGTTCTGTGTGTAGCTGTGTAAACATCCTGGGGAGCAGGATCCCAGGTTGGGTTGTTATCTTCAGATGCTTAAGGTGGATTGCTAGACACACATGGTGATCATAAGTTTCCTGATGCTTCAGTGTTGGTAATCTGTAACAGGCATTTTTCTTATTTGCCCTTTCTAGGAATTTGTCATGATTGTTGTCTTTGGTTTGGAATTTATTATTCGTATCTGGTCTGCTGGATGCTGTTGTCGATACCGAGGATGGCAAGGAAGACTGCGCTTTGCAAGGAAACCATTCTGTGTAATAGGTGAGTGTCCCAGTTCTAGGTTATTTAAAGAAAAAAAAATAAATACCCCTCCCCCCCCTTCTGCTTTGCTTCTGAATGAAAACTACTGGAATCAGACTCTGTTTAGAACTTACTAGAAACATGAATCTGTAAACATTTTGAACTTCCTAGAAGCATTTCACATCTCAGGGTGGTTTGCTGCTCTCCCAAATGCTGTTGTGTGGAAACACTAGCAGATTGTTCAGTTCAGCTTTTTTTTCTCTTCCCTTTCCCTTCTCCTTTGAACTGGCAAGTTTTCTGTCACTGATTAGCTTCAGTCTGAGGTGTTAATCTGCAGTAAGAGTGAATGGAAGGGTTCTTCCTTGTCCAAAATTTTGTTACCATAGGGTGACTTAGGTAGATTTTGCACCCTTTCCTTTAAACAGCTTATAGCTACCCTCCTACTATTTGTGAAATAGTTGAGGCAGGTCTCCTGGCACAGGTCTCAGTGAGTGTTGGGGTTTGCTTTACTTAATTGTGTTTTTTTCTCCTTTCTCTGGATCTGACATGCTCTTCTTGTTGAATGTTTATGTAGGCAACCTGTAGCCTTAAAAGCGTCTTCTCTGTTCCCCTTGCAACTCCATCACTTGCTAGCAGAACTAACTAGCAGCTAACAATCTCTTGCTTGTGGCAGTCATCCTGTGCTGGTTCAATGGATTAAAAAGGAACTTTGTTCTGCAAAACACTGTGCAGCTACTAAAGTAGCTTCTGGAAACTAAACCAGTAGCGTTAATTATTCTGTGTGTCTCCTCCTGGTTAATATTTTGTCCATTTCTGGACATTAGCATCCATGAACAGATTTTCTGATTTGATTGTTTGAGGAAGAACCTTTAGCAAGTAATTTTGCAGCTCTTGGTACATAAAGTAACTATTTTCCTGACACCTTGGCTTTGAAGTCATGACAAAGTGTGCCCTAGCAGGAAAGGCTAACAAGCTATATGTACTAGCTATAGTACCATCACCCGTAGATGAAGACACATTATATCTCTCTTTATTTGGCACTTATTAGACCACATCTAATCCCCATTTGACTCCTCCAACACCATACATGGAAGACATCAATAAACAGGAGTAAAGTGAAGGCCACCAAGATGATCAGTGCTGGACCATTTGCCCTGCGAGGAGAGGCTGAGGGACCTGGGCTTGTTCAGCCCTGAGAAAGGATGGCTTCAGGGGGAACTCTGTGAACTCAGTGCTAAAGTCTGCTGAAAAGCACATGGCCTATTTTGGCCTATTACTTTTCATGCATTTGTTTAATCATTTACTCACTCGCCCATTCAGTTATTCTTTCTGCTTATTGTTACAGTGAAACAATAATATTTTTGAAAACTTAGTCTGTTTACTATTAATTAAATTTGCTATATATCTCCAGCAGATCTGTTCTCTGATTATTTTTGTGATCAAACACAAATCACACAGGGGAATGACCTAAAAGCTAGAAATAATAAATCTGAGGATTGCCCCAAGGGTCACATTCAGGCAGCCTTTATTTTTTTTTCCATTAATAACCTAATTGCTAGAAAAAATTTATTGAGAGGCAAAGCTCTGTGCTTACGTTAGTGTGTCTACAATGTCATTAACCCAACAAATCAGTTCATCAAACACTGATGTGTGCTACCACGTTAGTAATGATATCAAATTATTTGAAAGCTTTGTAGCCTTGTTTATTTCTGTATAAAATGGAATAATAGTATAGTATTAAACCTTGATTTATATTTTGTTCCATGTCAGGAGTTACTTGCCATCCCTCATTTTCTCTGACCGTATATGAGCTTGCATACATAATGTAAAGGGCATACCAAGATACCCTCCCACGTACTTAACTAGATGATCTTAAGGTCCTTTCCAACCCTAACTATTCTATGATTCTATGATTCTGCAATTCCTAAATCTCTCAGGTATATCAGTCAAGCTTGGCAGCACTGCAGAGAAATACTGCTGTGTTATACTGTGCAGAAGAGTAGAAATCCATGCACCTCACCTGACTGCTGCCTTCAGGAGACAGGGATGCGAAGGCCCAGGAAGATCTCTGTGTCTGCCTGTGCCTTAGGAGGAGCCATGCTCACTGAAGAACGTCAAAGAGGACATATCTGCTAATGAGAAAGAAAGTATGGCAACCTCTTCCTGTCAGGTCATTCAGGGATGCTGAAATAAATGAAGTCTGTTGTTCTTTCTCTGGTGATGGGCCTCCTACATGGTTGCAGGTGACCTAACTAAATTAAACTAACTTCTGGTCACTGTTCTGTGCGTATGAGAGGTTTTACTATCACAATGAGCCCTCGGTCTGTGAGGGTGGCTCCCATGCAGTGGCACATTATAAAAATAATGAGGAATAATACATAACAAGGTGTGGGTAAGAAGAGTGAGATCCTGCCAGTCTCACCTGTGTGTCTTAAGTCTGATAGACTTCAGAGGAACTTCTTCTTTCCACTGTCCCTGTAGGAGACTTTGGGACTCCTACGTGTGGAAGGCCAGCAAGGACAAGTGAAGAGCACATGAGCATGCTTCCCTTAGAATGCTTGAAGCAGTGAATTATAGTACCTAAACTTTATGCGACTTCTAAATTTAAATATGGGGGTTTAAGCTCCTAATTCAATTTTTTTTTTTCACCTTAAATTTGACCCCCTTCTAGTAAAATAACATTTTTCCAGGGCAACTAGATTTCCTGGCGGTCCAGCGCGGTGAAAGATTTAATGTATTTCAGTTAGTCCATTAGCAGTTTCCCACAATGGCTTCTGCTTTACCTCTAGTCAAGCTACAGCACGATGGAAATGTCACAAGTTCAAATTCTGTTGAGGCTGCAGAATGAACAAATTCCCAACAGGAAGCTTAAGTCCATTATCTGTAATCAGGCTCTTGAACTTCATGGCTGGCAAACCTCGTTTCAGAGCATTAAGTGATAGCAGTGGCTGTAGCATATTACTGGATCTATTTTTCATTAATTAGAGTAGTAATGAGCCATCATATGGCACTTTTGACAAACCTTTATAAACAATCCATATCTAGTGTGTTACAAGATCTACTGAACCCTTAATTTGAATTAGTTCAATATATTTACATAATGATACATTGTGTCTGTCACCTTGGTATTTAGACACATTATAGAGTTTAAATACAGACAGACAGTAGATCTGCTGCCCATGATAAACAATGTATAGAGCCTCCTTCTAGAATAATTTGAACTCTAAATAACCCAGTGATATTCCGAAATTAAGTATATCTTTGACCAAAGAGACACATCTCACATCACATTTCATTACAAATCCTAGCAAACCAGCAGGAGTAAATTCCATGCTGAAGGGGTCTCCTGCCAGCCCGACTTTAACTCATCCCAGGAACATGCTGCCCACTTCACCCCAGAAAATACTCTTGACAGCAGTAGTAGTATTAAGGTGGAAATCAAAATTTCCTCAGACAATTTCAGCAGCCATAATTATGTGCAATGAAAAGAGGCTAAATCGGTTACAAATTGTGTAGGTTTTAAAGACTAATATTTAGTTGCATATCTTCATGTTTGACAGTTCTGGCAGTACAGTTTTTAGAAATGCATAGAAAAAATAATGCATTTTGAATATCATCTATGGGCCTTATTCTTTCACATCTCTGACTCCCTTGCTGCTGAGTAAGGTACCATTTTCTGTAAGTAAAGACATTGGATTCTGGTCTTCTCTTTCTAGAAGTTGTGTGTCTTCTAGTCAAAAGAAATCTGCTAGTTGTTGAAATTTCTTTCTGGTGTCTGCTAAAGAATTCAGCAGCCTGTATTTGTTTATTGCCATGCTTTTTTGATCTCATACTGGTGACACCACCATGCTATTTTGAGTAGAGGAGCACTTACCATGAACTGGGCAACCTGAGTGATATGTGTCTCGTGACTTCTTTCCCGATGGGGAGTTGTGGGTAGTGTCACATGTCATCTTCATGAGGCTTTGGAGATCTGGGTTTTGATCTGAGGGCTGAACTTTCTTTTTATCCATATTCTGAGTATCTGCCAAGATACCTGCTGATGAGGGAAGTCAACAAGACTAGTGTAAGATTACTGATGAAATTATTTTTCCTTGAAAAATATTAATTGAAAACAAAGTAATTCATGCAAGCAAACCAATTCCTTTTCCTGAGGAAAGGCTTTTGTATTCAGTCTAGATCTTTTTCTCATCAAAATTAAAAGCACTGTCTCCCTCAAACATGCAGTGTAGCAAATGATACGGTTTCTGGTTTCTAAGTAAAGTATGGTTAAATTCTCACTCTGGGAGATTTGGAGCAGAGGCAATCACTCAGCTCCACTGAAACTATCCAAACATCAATAAATAATTCTTAATTGGTCCAGAGAGAAATGCTGATTTATCCTGTCACCTGGTGTTACTTGTAGTCATCTGCTACAAGAGAAACTTTGATTTTTTTCACCCAAAGGATAATCAGTCATTGTAAATAGACAATCCCTGCAGTACAAATTAGAAGAGAGCCACACCAGAACGGATTCTGTAAATGGTTTATGGATTCTTTCAAATAATTGATGATCTCTCATTTTTGAATCTCAGGAAATATATTGTATAATAATAATAATAGAACTTGATATTATTAAGTGCTATGTATTATCAAATATTATATATTATGAATGTATATTAGAGAACTCAGCTACAGCTTATGAGCCACAAGGTCTCAATGACTTGGAAATGTACAGTAAGAAGAAAGCAAGCAACTGACAGACCAAGAAACATTTTCTGGTTTTAGACTCGGCATGTTCAATTTTTCTCACATTTTTTAGGGACTGGCTTTAAAATTGTTGCTACTAGAGATGCCCAGTATAGGAAGATGTTTATAGAAATACCTTTCTTTTCACTACCTGTCTTAATTCGAGATGTTCATATCCTGCCTTACTATGCTGAATTCCCATCATATCCATAGACAAGATCATTGCTCAGATTTCTATACATACACATAAGTTCTCCAGTCTAAAATGAAGCAATTTAAGTAAATTTAGCTGG